CAGCAAGAGGAGTGTGTGGCCAGTCTGTGCTACCTTGGGGTAAGGTGGTGGAAGAGTGGCAAGGCGCTGACTGTGGCTCTGTGAAGCTTTGGGCTCAGGCAATGGCCTTCACCAGGAAGGGGAATTGTAGGAAAGGTGGATCACTGTGACTCAGGCCAATAGGATTCAGTCACCCGATTTGTCCTTAGAAGGACCGTGGTAGCCTAGGTAGACACTGGGGAAGTGGGCCACGCCCTTCCCCAGGTATCAGAAGGAAATTGAGCTGCTGCTCCTTGGGTTCCTTGGGCCAGTCATGCCTCTCATAATGGTGTTCCAGGTGCCTCATTTGCTCTGGGAGATGCTAGATGCCGTCCTGCCCACCCAACATGAGGGTGCAAGATGCAGGCTGTAGAGAGGTGACCCTGCCTGCCCAGGACTGGGACAAGGGAGGCCATGACGTAGAGACTGTCATTTGTGGGCATGGTGCTTATAGAGGTGGCTGCCTCTTCAGGTGCTGAAGGAAGTTGATGTGTGTTTGTGAACATGGGGGTGTGAGAATGCTTGAATCGGTCTGTGTCTGAATGGCCTGTGAATGTGTGTGTGTGGGTGTGTAGAGCACACAGACACACTCATTGACCGAGAGTCTGAGGTGGCTTGGGCCCAGTGACAGGTGCTAAGGGGCAAGAAGTCAGAGGTGAGCTCTTCTCTCCAGGAATTTATAGTCTTATGGTGGAAGCAGGGTGATGAGAGTGAGTGAAACTCGATTTAGTAACACAAAAGAGATACAGGCAGACTCCTGAGGAAGTTCAACAGAAAGTCAGGAGATTGGACATGGGGTCAAGGACACCAATAGGAGAGGGCAGGGCCAGACTTGTCTGAGAGAAGCCAGCCCTGGAGGGTTGATGTAGAGAATATCAAGGAGCCCTGGGCTGGGCCCAGTGCCTACAACATGGCCCTACACACATCCCAGGGCTGAGGGCAGGAGGGGGGAAGCGGCCCCCCAGATCATCTGCAGGGGTAAATCATTTGTTTGGTGAGAGCTGTAGGCAGGTGACCTGAGTGATCAACAGGATGGACAGGATGTCCTGGCAGGGTGGGAGGGTGTGTGAAGTCTGCTGTGCAGAATCCATTGGTTGGTTCCCTTAGAATCTAGGAGTCTACCTAGATGCCACATGCAAGGCTGCCACTTGGAAAACATCCAGGGAGACCACACAGAGTCCCGGTGAGCTGATAGGCCAGATCTGGGGCCTCGGGAGTACGTGCGTGTGTGTGCTACATAGGGCAGGGCTGAAAGGAGCAGCTCACCAGGAAGCAGGAGGAGGAAATCTAGTGCATCCTGGGACTGAGATAACGGAGAGATCAAATCTGGAAAGGCAAAGTGTAACCTTTGGGACCATGTCAGTGAAAATGGGCAGCTCTTGTCAGAGGCAGCAGTGTAGGCTTTCTGGCCTCTATCCATCCCCTAGTGGCGGCTGGGTTATACTTCGGCTGCCTGAGTATCTCCCCCGCGCTCTCTGTGAGTGCCAGTTGCCCTGGCTACACCAAGGTGACGCATCTATCCACGAAAGCAAGGGCATTGGCTCCATTCAGTCCTACCAGTACTTGACCCCATGCTATGATTACCCAAGGCCCATCTGAGGAGCTGTGGCAGGCACAGGTCAGTCCTGCTGAGAGAAGAAGGGCTGCAGAAGGTGAGAGAATGGGGTGAGGTAGCAGGACTCTGGAGCTGGAGGAGGGTAGCTCAAAGCCCCTCTGGGCCCTTGCTGTGGTCCTGTGTGACCAGGAAGAAGCCTGCTGGGAGGTCTCCATGCATGTCTGAGGCTCACTGGCAGGACCAGCTTTGTCTGTCTCTGCATTCATGTGGCAGAGCTCAGAGGCAGGAAAGGCCCATGAAGCATGGAGCAAATCTGTTTCCGGTTCTCCAGTTTAAAACACCAACTAAAACTCTTTGCCTTGAAACAGTAGCAATCAAGCCCCAGGGAAGTGAGGTGGCCTGTCTAAGGTCACACGAGAATGTGAATGTCAAGCAATCCTCATTTTCTGACCACACGCACTTATCCTGAGTTGTACAGTGAACAGAAAATCCTGGGAAAGGCTTCACCCTTTGGTTCTAAAGGTGGTCACCTTGTCACCTGTTTACATGATCAGGACAGGGTCAACAAGGTGGTCATAAGCTCCCTTCATACTTTCAGCCTGCCATTCACGTATGAAAGCCAGGGTGGGCAGGAAACTGGTCAGTACAGAAGCATGGCTCTTTAGGGGTATGTTCTCCACTGGGTTTTTTTTTCATTGAATTGAACTCTGCACCACACTGGGGACCTTTAGGTTACTTCTGTTTCAAAACTGCATGACAGAGCTCTTACGATGGCCTGCTAAGCAGCTAGTTAACCATCTGCACAATGCCCATCTACCTGGCTCCTACCGCCTGCCCTTTCCCCTGCAGCCTGTTCACTGGGAGACTGGAAGGGCTGATTACATCCCCTCGCTGTGCCTGGGGGCCTGTATTCATTGGCAGGGGCCCAAGCCCTCAGATTGTCAATCCAGCCTTGGGGCTCCATGAGTCTCCAAGCATAGCCCAGGTGCTGCGGAGACTGCCAGGCCTGGGCATACCAGCATTGCTCAAGCACGACCGCTTCTGCTTTTGCAATCATCCTGGGCTCCTTCTTGGCAGGACCTCTCGTGGTTGCAGTGCCTCTGGTGGCTTCTGTCTCTGGCCACTCAGGTTGGGTGTCAAGAGCAACCTTCATGTGCTATGTCCAGTGACTCCTCATGGTCTACCAAGCATGCCAGTCCTGGGGCATCGAGAACCTTCATAATTCTCCTGCTTTGTCCTTTCCTTCCATATATATATACTTCTACTTTCTCCAGTCTGGAGCTTCCTCTTCCTTCAAGGATTCAGACTTTCTCCTCAGCAGGTGCAGCTCCTCCATGGAACCTCCAGGCCACAGAGATCTGGAGATCATCCCCTAACGGTCATCTCATTTTCTACAGGACGCTGAGGCCCAGAGGCAGATTCCTCTCCAAGTCACATCCCTGGCTGGATGGAGAGAGGAAGCAAAATTTCCCCCCTCTGGAGGAAAGGACCATGCAGTCCTAGAGAGCCAGAGACCCAGAAGGACGAGATTTGTCCCCATGTTCATGTGGTTGTCACCATCAGAACCACACAATTAAAGGCTTAATTATAAGCTGCTCTGTATTGTTATTTAATTGGTTCCAAAGTAGACTATAGGTCCCTTGAGCAAGGAATTCCTCTCCGAAGCCCCCAGCTCAGAACAGGGTATAGGAAAGTGGACACTGCACAGGGCTGGCTCCTTGGCCTAAGCTTTTGTTTAGGAGGGTGCTTTTCTACTTTAATTTCAGAAAGCAATGAAAGCAAACAAAGGATCAGAAGAGCTCAAGGGACTCTGTGCAGATGTGAGTCCAGCGTCTGAGCTTCTGTGTGGATGGAAGGTGGGTCCTGCACATGAGTGCGCATGCCTGTGAGCAAGTATGTATATTCATGCATAGGTACGGGGACTAGTGTTTTGACAAACGGCCAAACGGATGAATAATGGTTTCAGCCCTGGTAGGTTTCCAGCTTCCTTCCTTGCCGCCTGTGGACCTGGCAGGGCAGGCAGAGCCATCATATTTTCTGGAGAGTGGCCTTTGGGACAACCTCAGGAGGCACCCCTAGATCAAGGAGACTCCTTGGGGGCAGGTGGAGGTGCCACTTTCCAGGCCCCTGGAGTCGCAGAACCTGGCCTAGTGGGAGGAGATTCCTTGTATCTGGTGAGCAAGGTACCCAGGATGTTAGAGAACTTGTTGCATCTTTCTGTCTGTCTCTCTCCCTCCTGGTGATTAAACCCAGGGCCTTTGTATTTAGCTATATCCCCAGCTCTTTAAAAAATATTTTGAGACAGGAGCTTGCTAAATGGCTACGTTGCTCAAGTGGGGCTTGAATTTTCTATCCTCCTGCTTCAGCCTCCCATGGTGCTAGAATCACAGGCACGTACCACCACACCCAGCTTCCTTCTCTTTCTATCTAAATTTAAGCATGTCTTTGGCACAGCTGTTCAAACAGGTTTGCAGGTTGTCGGGGTGGTGAGGACACCTGGGGGAGGGTTCATGGGTGGAAAGGTGGTACTAGCTCTGCTCCCAGGGTGCCTGGAGCCCTCTGTGATTGGTGGCCCCTATTTGGCACAAATCTGAAGGGCTTCAGCACAGAACCAGTGCCTTTCTGGGCTCCACACTCTGGGGCCTCAGGCTTCCTGGTGGGTGGAGGTTGGTCAGGGTCACTGGGTGAAAGGAAACGGTTGCTGACATGAGCCCTCCCACTCGCCTTCCCCACTGCCTGGAGGACATGCACCGTGTATTCTCAACTCTCCATTTGTGCATTCACCATGACCTGCTTTTCCTAAAATCAGGGCTGTTATGGAGCATGCAGAGATTACTTCATGTCCCATTTTCCTGAAGAGGAATCCAAGGCCCAGCAAGGGGAGGTGTGACCCCCAAGAGTGAGCCACCTGTGGGCTGCAGTGGCCCGGTTCACAGCTCCTCATTCTCCCCAGCCTTGGTGCCAAGGCCAAGCCAGTAGGAGACATTGGGCAAGGGGTCCTCTGTCCAGTCCAGGGGTGTTGCTTCTGAGCTGGGGGCCGGGGTGTAGCTGGGAGGACTTTGCTGCACCACAGAGATGGGAGAGCAGGCCAAGCAATTAGCCACCAATGAAGACAGACTGGCAGGGTGGCATTCCAGTGCCCTCTTGACCAGATCAGCCTCTATTATAAGGCACAATTACTGGCCAAGGTGTTGCAGGGTAGCTGCCTGCACATGCCCTGCAAGATCTCCGGGGTGCTTCTTGGTCTAGGAGACCACATCTGAAGCCCATACTCCTTCAGGGCCTTGTTTCAACTCATGTCCCAGCAACACTGCCATATGACCCTGTCTCCAAGGCTCTTGGGTGGGTGTCAGGTCCAGACTTCCCCACCAATGCACGAGGCTTCAGTTTCGCCCTGGCCCCAGCAGGAAGGATGGGGAGGCCTTACCTCGAGTTTTGTTTTCTTTGGGAAGGAGGCTGATGGTCTTTCCTTTCTGAAGGTAGATGTAGAATTGGTAGCGGTGGAAGCCGCTGTGAGCTGGGGGGGAGGGAGGCTGGTAGGCTACAGGTAGAGGAAAGAGAGACAGGTGAATTTGGATCCCACGCCGCCTGCTTGCAGCTCCTCCTGGCTGCTCTAAAAGGGAAGCATCTATATCTTTCAATGGTCCCTTTTGAACCTTCTGGGGTCCCAGGGGGAAGGCAGCTTCACTGCACGCCCTAGGCTAGGACTCACGTTTGGCAGCCTTTTGCTTTCAGAATCTCCATTTATGTAAATGGGGGGGTTAAGTCGGGGAGGGAAGGAAGGGGTCCAAGAGAAAGCACTGTGGGGCTGAAGGTCTGGGGCGTTGGCCCAGCTCCCAGGCCTTTCTGAACCAGTGGATGTTGGTGCTGTCCTGATTTTTTCTTTAGTCTATCCTGATGGATTTCCTGCCTTGAGAGAAACCCATCTTCCCTTGTGAATGTGTTTGGTGTGGATTTTTATTTATTTTTCCAGCATGTCCTTGTGAAGTCAATCCCCAAAGAAGCCAGTTTCTTGGCTGGGTCTGGAGGATCTGGAAGTGGTTATGGGAGTGGGTGGGTCTGGGTTCAAAGGTTTGATCCTAGTCGCCATAGGGGCTAGGCGCTTGGGGTGCTGGGAAAAGGCCACTCTCCCTCCATTTTACTCTGCCTCTGGGATACTGGCCTTTTTGGAGGAGAAGAAGTAGGGTGGCGGTATCTTTCTTGCATCCCCCAAGTCTGTGTAGGGACCCAGGCTTTGCTGCCTGGGCCGGGTCTTCCCAGCTGGGCCTCCTTCCAAGAGTACAGTGCCTCTCCCCATTCCCCTGCCCTTTCTCCCTCTCTCTTTCCAAGGAGGAGGGTTCGGCTGGAGCCAAGATCGTCCTGGGGTGAGTGGGGAAGGAGTGTTTGCATGAGCTCGCTGGTGGGAGGGAGCATTGGTACTTCTTGGCTACCCCCCTCCTTTCCTCTCCTGATCATTAAACAAAAGAGCAACTGGCTGTTTGGCGCTGTTGGGAGCATTCCTCATTGTGCACTTCCGGCCACGGGGGCCTCCAGCCTGCCAACAGCCAGGGGAATTCCTGACTGTTCATCTTTCCCATCGCAGATTGGAGAGAGAGAGAGAGAGAGAGAGAGAGAGAGAGAGAGAGAGAGAGAGAGAGTGTGTGTGTTCAGAGAGAACAGAGCAATGGAGCCAGAGCTGTGAGCTTGTACGGCTTGGAGTCCTCACTGTGGCAGGTGTGCATATGGGAAGGATAAGTGTGTAAGTGTGTCAGTGCTGCAGCTACACTGGAGGCTCTGTGTCCCTGGGTGTGGATTTGGGTAAATCTGTGTCTTCATACATGCAGCCAGCATGGAGGAAGCATGGAACTCTCCGGTGTCCCTTCATATGCGGGGGTGTGTGAAAGTCAAGTGTGACAGGGCAGCTTTCGGCCAGACTGGTGGGTACAGGGGCAGCCAAGTGCCCCTGAAGTGGGCATATTCCACACTGCCAAAGGCAGGTGACCAAGAATCTGTGTTAGAATCCACTGCTTCTCTAGCATTTTGGATTTATTCTCAGGGGAGGTGGAGACTTTGCTCCTTCCAGGAGTGCTTTCTTGAAGAAGCCCCCACTCAAAATCTCTAGAAGCCAAGCTTAGGTTACTGCAGGGTATGTATACTTTGGAAGCTTCTCTGGCCAGGTCCTGCCTCTCCATGCCTTGGCAATGTGGGCATGAGCTCCATTTTCTGGCCAAGGAAACTGGGGCTCTGAGAAGTTAAGCTAGGCCCCCAGGAAGTGATAGAGCTGGGATTTGAATCCAGGCCTATGAGACACCCAAGCCAGTGTGGCTCCACAGTCCATGAGACCATTTTTCCTAAGTCATTTATGAACCCACCTCCAGCATCCTCTCCCAGTGGTTCCCAGGGGACACCTTGGGAGTGGAGGCCTGGCAGGAAAGGGTACAGGGAAGGGCCTCAGAGGTGACCAGGGCTCTCTAGTCAGACAGACCCTGGTGCTCTGACTCCGTCCCTTGCTAACTGTGACAAGGGACAAATCCACCTGTGCCTCAGTTTGTTTTCTTTTTTAAAACATTATTTTATTTATTTGATACAGAGTCTCACTATGCAGCTCAGGCTCAGTGCTCCTCCTGTCTCAGCCTCCCCAGTGCTGGGATTAAAGGTGTGCGCCACCACACTCAGTTATAAAGCCTGCTTGGCTCAGAGCCTGCATAACATGTGATACTGGGGATGAACACGGGTCCTTGCACTTGCCTGGCAGGCGCTTAGATCACCGTGCTATCTCCCCAGCCCTCATTTCATTTTCTTTGAAGTGGAGACCTGGGCATTAGCAACTTTGCAGGACAATTGTGGAGATGACATCAAGAGTACACAGGTGACCTGGGGGCTGGCATTCGCATGCTGCAAGACAGCACCACGAAGCTGTGTCTCTGTGATTCCTAGGACTGTCACTGAATCCCAGCTGGGGAAGGGGTGCTGCGAGGCCTTCACTCACCTGATAACTCTTTGCCTTTAATCTTCCCTCTCTGCAGGTCGGTGCCCTGAAATGAGAAATGCGAGACCATTTTGCTGCTGAGGCAGTGAAGGCTGAGCGCCCGCACTTTGGTTCTCCTGGGTCCTCTGAGCTTGTGGGAGTGGGAGGTCATGGCTGCTCCTGGGAGACTATGGGCCTTGCAAGGGTACTAACAACTCAGGGCCCCAACAGGAGGATGCAGAGACAGGGCGTCTGAGAGTGGCCTGGAGGTGGAGGGCAGATGCTTGACCATTGGAGATTCTGAGCAGACCTTTTCCAAACAGCTGCCCCATGGCCACATTTGCACCTCAAGACTGGGTACAAGGTGTAACTATTCATGGGGACAGGGTCTTACGGTCCTCAGGGGCTTGCTAGTTACCCATTCTCTCAGCAGGGTCATCTGCTGTCTTTAGCGCCTTTAGCACCTTAGGCCAATGGCCATCTTGACAACCAGAGGGGACCACAGGGTAGGAGGGGCTGGACCACCTTGCTAAGCCCACAAGCTCTAGGCAGTTTCTTTGGCCTCAGTTTCCCTCTGTCTCTCCCTCCCCTCCCTCCTCTCCTCTGCTTGGTGTCTGTGGGATAATGAGGTGCTCCCGGGGGCGGGCGCTAATTACTGTTTGTGCAGGACTGGGAGATGCTCAGATGAAAGGGACTGGAGCCGGGCCTCTGGGTCTGTGCCACAGCTTGGGGCCCCGAGCCATGCCAGAGAGCCCTGCGGGCCCTAGGTGTGGGGTTTTATAGTCTTAATGATGGTGATTAGCCTGGCTCTTAATTGGTTCTGCCAACACCTAACTGTGCCCTGGCCCCCTTTCCACCCTTCCTGGAGCAACCTCTGCCCCTTCTTTCTCTGAGGTGCTTATGGGGGCTCAGGAGGAGCCTTGAGGAGGGGAAGCCTTGCTGGCACATGGCAGGGCACGAGGCTGGAGGGAACTGAGGTACAACCTCTGACTCCTGTCCACCCAGACCACTGTGCTCACTCCTGCAGTCTTTTGAACTTTCCTGGTTTGGGGCCCAATATTGTCCAGGGCTGGGGTAAGGCCTAGCGGGGACAGGAGCTGAGAGGTGGGGTTCCAGGGGGAGGGTCAGAGACTGGAGCCCAGAGCCCCTCCTGATGACTCCAATCCCTTTCAAGAGAGGAGGTCAGGACCTAACAGGGTCCAAGTAGTCACTTTCCCCAGATAACTCTTCTGGCTACCCTGGCAAGAGGGAGAGAGCCGGGGCTGGGCCCAGGGAAGTTCAGCCCAGCTTCCTCCACTCTCTGTTGCTCAGCTTCTATCCCTTCTCCCTCCAAATGAGCCTGGCCAGCCAGTTTCTTGAAATCAAATAATAGCAACCAGCCTCACTGGCTGTTTCTTCTCAATTCCCCACAGGCCTGGGTCCTGCCTCGTGTGATGAGCAAGCTTCTCTCCTCTGGGGGCAGGAGGCTGCCAGGGGCCTTCAGGGGCTGAGGGGTCAGGGAGCAGCTTTTGTGGAGCTGAAGCTAGGTCCTGTGGAAAGTCTGACTTGTGGCTTATAGGGTGGGGAGCCTCCTCCTGCACACTGGGAAGATCTTCTCACCTCCTGGGGCTGCCTGGCTGTGTGCTAGTCCTTGGGTTGGGCTTACTGAGGCCACCCTCATCCCTTTCCCCATGGACAGATGTTCAGAGCTTGCTTGTAGGAGGAGCAGGGAAGGGCCCCATGGCAGAGGGTCCCACACGGCAAGTGGATGGTGTGGCTGTGATCTACCAGTGTGGTGGTGAGGATCGGTGGCTCGGCACTCTTTGGCCATAAGCTTTCCCTCACTGGACTGTCCTGAAATTTCTACTGCAGAATCAACACATGGAAAAGAAACTAAATTCTATAGGGTGAGAAAGTTGGGATCCACGGAAGTCAAATAATTGTCCCCAGCCATTCGAGCAGTGAGTATGGAGGACTCAGATGCTTAGGGAGGAAGGGGCTGCAGACCTGGAGGACCCCCTCCCCCAAAGGCTGCTGGTTGAAGGACTCAAGCCACTTGACTCACAGTGCTGTCCTGGGATTTTCCCTGGCTCTGATACTACCTGGAGGTGTGGTTTAGTGGTACAATGGATGCTTATCATGTAGGAGGACCAAGTTCAATCCCCAGTACCAACGGAAACAAAACAACTCTTAAAAAGCACCCAGCTATTACCTGGAGATCTATGGGGCTGCAATGGAAATAGTCCCCCTCATTCCATACCAGCTTTCTTAAAATATCTTTGTGGGTTAGAAAATCACATCTAGCTGTGACAGCCCTAGCAAGCAGCAGCTCTCAGGAGATGGAAGACATTCAGTTCGAGGAGGTGAGTAGGGAAGTTGATAGTTGTTAGCACTGGCCCGGAGGTGGGCCAGAGAAGGCTCCTGCAGGGGACAGGTAGGAGTCCAGGGGCTAGGGGTAGACACTGCGCCTGCCAGGGTGAGCAGGGTTGGGCTGTGGGAGAAAAACCTGCAGGAGCCAGGGCCTGCTGAGAGCTTCCTACATCCGGGGCTTCCTACCCTCCATCCGCAGCTTCACCTGCCCCTGCTTCACCTGCCCACCGGCCTCCAGGTGCGCGTGCTCCTCTAGAAGACGGGCCAAGCACAGACCGACCTCCTTTCCCTCACTGTAGCTAAAGACAGGTTGACATTTCCAAAAGGAACTTGTCAAATGCTCAGGTTAAAAAAAGGAAATAATTATGGAAATTACAAACAGCGTAGATGCGGTTGGGTTTCTGAAACTTAGGAACACAGAAAAGCCAAGGATGGGGTTTTCAGGATGGCAGGACGGGGGCCCCCGAAGTACTTGGCTAGTGAGGCTGGGAAAGCATTCCGGGCTCCTGTGAGTGTCAGGAACCAGACGGCCTTGGGAAGCCAATCCTTTCTGTATCAGTGTCCTCTGGGCATAAGGAGTCTGATACGCACAGCCCTCCTAGCAAGGACACAAAGGAGGGGTGGAAAATTGCTTGGTGGGACCAACCCTTGCCTGCTCAGGGTATAAAAGGAGTAGTTGCTCCTTTTTCTTAGAAGTTAGTCTCACATGTATGTGTGCATGTATGTGAATGTGTGTGCATGTGTATGTATTGGGTGCTGGGTAGATATACAACTGCCTGTCATATGAATAGACATAAATAATTTAAAGAATCATTGCAGAGAAGGCTGCCTTATACTTCAGGGAATTTCTGCATTTAGGAACACAAGGTCCTCACTGATTCTCTGTCAGGCTAGTTTAGAACTGGTGTATGAGGGATTAAGGAAAAGTTGGGGCTCATTTTGTGTCTCCATAACCCCATTCCAGGGCCAGGGAGATGCAGTCTTATGGGACTGGCTCTGACTTACCTAACTCAGGCTGAGAGTACAATACAGGAAGTGGGTGTGGAAGGTGAGGGTCTGGCACCCCGTTCAGTCTAAGATTTTTGTGGTTGTTCTCTAGGTTTCTATCCCACCGACGGAACTCACAACACCCCAACATAGGCAGGGCAAAGCTCATTATCCCTAGGGGACCAGACAAACAGCAGAGGACTCATTCTGTGGAGGGCAGGGACTGCAGCTTGCCCCCTTTGAAGCCCCTGAGACACTTCCACACGGCAGGTACGCAGACACTTGCTACTTCAGTAGGGTCCACTTCCAACTGCCACTCATTGTTTCTCGTTCCACAAAGACAGCTGAGAACCATGCTTGCTGAGGCCCCTCATAGAGTTCAGGGTCAGAGACCATCCCTCCCCCAAGTACCTGCTCTGTGGCTGGATGTGATTTGCTGGCTCTGGAGGGTGAAGAGGGAGCTGGCTGTTGCTATCCCAACAGGGCTGCTGGCTGCTGTCCTTATTCCCTTTCAATTACCTGTGGGCAGCTGCCCACCCACTTGGGCCTCCTTTGTGGGAGACCCAGGCCCTGAGACTGGCCAACTCCGGAGTGGAGGGTCAGCACACAAGATGATTTAATCTCTTCACCTAGCCCTTCCCATATGACGGGGGTGTGGGGTGTGGGGTGTCGAGGTGTGGGGGGCTTAATCACTTTTGCTTGGTTACAGATCCCTGCAGGGTGTGGGGTGCATCCAAGAGCCCCTAACTTGAAAGATGATGAGGCAGAGAGAGGAGAGAGAGAGAGAGAGAGAGAGAGAGAGAGAGAGAGAGAGAGAAAGAGAGACAGAGACAGAGACAGAGACAGAGACAGAGAGACAGAGAACAGGGAGAAAGGAGCAAAACAGAATTCTTAGGTGGAAAAGAAAAAAACCAAACCAAACAACCAAAGAGGGAAAACAGAAACAGGGTTCCAGGCTCTGTGACACCAGCACTGAACAACAAAGCTCCTTGCTGTTTTGCACAGCTGTCTACAAGCTGCCAAGTGGCAAAAGAGCCAGGAAAAGGCCCAGCGTTGGAAAGTGCTACCCGGTAATCTGTAATTAATGGAGGGTAAGTAAGTGGAAGGCACTGACAGCTCCCAGGCACTGAGGTCCCCAGGGGCCATGGCTGCCAAGCTGCGGAGCGCCAGTCTGGAGAGGACCCAGACTGGAGGATGGTGCTGCCTTAAAGGAGAGGCTTCCAGCCAGGGAACCCCATGGCCTGCTCTGATGCTCTTGGGCTAGAGGAAGGAAGAGCAGTGGAATGAAGCCCACACAGGGAGTGATGAGGGGGAGGCCCAAGGGTCTGAACCCTCCTGGGAGCTGAGTGCTTCGGACCCCAGGGTGGAGGAGGGTTGATTACCTTGTACACCCTGATCCCTTGAGAAACTTCAACATCAAAGGCTCAAAAGGCCTCTTCCCAGCACCCTCATGACAGTGGGGACTCCACAGTGAATATTATCTGTAGAATACACCAGAGTAGGGTCAATGGCAGATCCTACTAGGTTGGCAACAGATCCTCCTAGGTTTTGATTCCCAGCTTGCCTTCCTGTCTGGAATGGATTACTTCCCCAGGTCCCTAGAGGCCACAGTGGGGTGGAGTATAGTGTGGCTGAGGGGGAATGATTTATTTTGTGGAGTGAGTAGTTACCCCAGGATGGGAGGAGCTTCCTCCAAACTTGCCCATTTCCCATGACACTGTGTTAAAAAGT